CCATATAAAGTGAAATACTTTGGGAGTCCGTGGGCAGCCCCTGCCTGGATGAAAAATAACAGTGAACTGATACATGGCGGGTATATCAAAGGACAGCCAGGTGAAAAATATTACAAAGCATTCGCCAAATATTTTGTTAAGTAAGTATTCATTCATTTGAATTATTGGATTATTTAATGGATTCTTGCATTAATTTACAAAATTATAATTTCTATCTTAAGATTTCTTGACGCTTATAAGTCCAATGGACTCGACTTCTGGGGCATTACTATAGAGAATGAGCCCAAAGCTGGCGACCAAAAGTCATATGACTTTAATTGTTTGGGTTTTACACCAGAACTCGAACGAGACTTTATTAAGAAAGACTTGGGACCCACTCTGGAGGCTGCGGGCTATGGACCCAATAAGTTAGATGTCATGATATTTGATGATCAAAGGACTCAAATCCTCAGGTGGGCTAACGTTATACTGAAGGATAAGGATGCGGCCAAATATGTGGCCGGGACTGCAGTCCATTGGTATGACGATAAGGCAGCTCCTGCCACCGAATTGGATAAAACACATGCCATCGACCCCTCCAAGTATATCATAAATACTGAATCAAGTAATTGTTGTCATGACGTCGGCTGGTGGGGTAATGCCGAGGAATACGCCAGAGATATCATTGAGGTTAGCATGTACAAATTATTTACCCCATGTGTATAGTAATTAATACTAAAATTATTTCTTGTTTTGATTTATAATTTTGATGAATTATCTAATACTTTGTTAATATGTTTTTTATATCGTTTTACTTATTTCACAAATTCAGGACTTCAATCACTTGACTGCTGGATATCTTACTTGGAATATGGTGTTGGACATGGTAGGTGGACCAAGGTGGTGTGGGGGCAAAGCCGATGCACCCATAGCTGTGGACGCACCGAAGCACGAGTACTACAAACAGCCCTCATTCTACAGTATGGGTCAGTTCAGCAAATTCTTAGCACCAGATTCCGTGAAGATTGGTATTAATGAAGACAAAGCCGTGAAGAATGTGATGAGTACTGCCTTTGAGAGACCCGACGGAGGGATTGTCGTCATTGTCTTCAACCAAAGTGACGACACTTTGGACTTCACTATTAAAGAGGGAAACAATCACTTGACTCATACCGTCAAACCTCATGCCATTCAGACGTATATCTATTATAATAATTAAATTTTTTAATTTTTTGATGTAAAATAAATAAAATTCTTTTATAACTAAATATTTTTCAATTTATAAATATGATACCGGTCCATTAATTTATGGAGTATTTATATTTTCAACCTAATAAAACATTTCTTAATCTCTTTATCTTGTCTGTAAATTTTGAAACCTCAATAAAATTAATTGTTAATTAGATCGATATAATAGATTAGATTTAATTTGTTTTTTCAATGATATTTAAATTTTACATTCCCTTTATGAAATGAATTACGGTTATATAACTTACTACAAGCTTTTATTTAATATAAAGTGATGTAGATGATATACAAGAATTTCAGTATTGTATGGTTATGTTGCATTCCACTTAGAAATTAGTAATGTTATTAATTTTATTTTTATTAGCTTGATTAGAATCAATTTGTGTTTTAAGGCCACGAGTCACTTATGCACTATTGATTTATAATATCATAAGTATATCCTAATTGCTTTATATTAACTGAATAATTTTTTAGCAAATTGAATTTATCGTTAGTGCTCAATAACTCAATTTAATTTTTGGTAAATAAAGCACTTCATAAATTCTGTATTTATAGATTATTAAAGACACATTGAATACAAAATTATTCCCACCAAAGAACTTATTTTATCAATGATCCAGAATATTAATTCTCAACAAATAGGATAAATATAACAAAATATAACAAGTGCAATTGATAACTTATCATTTGTTCGATTTTAGTTCTAAAATATTTGCAATTATCATTATGTTTTTAGTTATTTTAAGTCCTGTCACTTTTGATAACAATTATTATAAAACCGAAAATTATATTTGAATTTTCTATTTGGTTTTAAATGACTAAATGATGAAAATATTATTTTTATTATCATTTTTATTTCTCACTGGTAAGACAATAATTAATAAATATTTGAAAATTCTATTGTATTTTAAATATTATGATTTATATTTAATTACAAAGTGGTAGCCCGTCAACCATGTGTGCACCGAGACTACGGAAAGGGGACGACAGTCTGTGTCTGTAATGTCACACATTGTGATGATTTGGATCCACTCGTAAAGACACCGAAAGGTGTGGTCACTGTTTTCGAGACGAGTAAAAGTGGCGATCGGTTGGAGAAAACAGAATTGAAATTCGGAGCCAAACCGGAGACAAACGCCAAACAAAAACTTGATGTAACGGTCGACAGGACTAAGAAGATCCAGAAAATCATGGGTTTCGGCGGTTCGTTTACCGACGCCACCGGTTATAACATCAGGAATTTGCCGCAAAAACTTCAGGACCAACTCATAAGCGACTATTTCTCGGACCGGGGTTTGGAGTATAACTTGAATCGTCTGCCAATCGGCGGATCAGACTTCTCGACCCACGCCTACAGCTATGATGACGACCATAAGGGAGACTTTGAGCTCAAGTACTGGAATTTAACCGCAGATGACCACAACTATAAGGTTTACAAACAAACATATGGATCACACAAACACTATATTAATACTGATATCAAAACAGATCCCATATATGAAGGCTGCACTACAAGTGAGTCCCTATAAGAATAAAGTAAAGTTTTTTGGGAGTCCGTGGTCTGCACCGGCCTGGATGAAAAATAACAGTCAACTAAATCACGGCGGATTCCTTATTGGGGAACCGGGAGGGCCTTACTATAAGACATTTGCCAACTATTTTGTTAAGTAATTGCATTTTATTTAGTCTTATTTATAGTTTTTAAATTTTTAGTTATAATTGTACTTGATTCAAATTCAGGTTCTTAGACGCCTATAAACAAAACGGTCTAAACATATGGGGCATAACCATAGAGAACGAACCGGGAGCCGGAACTCATCTCGACTACGGTTTCAATAGTATGGGATTCACACCGGAATTGCAGAGAGACTTCCTGAAGAAGGATTTGGGGCCTATACTAGAGGCGGCCGGTTATGGTCGGGACAAACTCGATGTCATGATATTTGATGACCAAAGAGACAAAATCCATTTGTGGGCCGACACTATACTCAAAGACAAAGATGCGGCCAAATACGTGTCGGGAACGGCATTTCATTTCTATGCCAACAAACCTGAAAATGTGGGCAATTTAGACAAGACTCACGAAATAGATCCCAACCGCTATATACTGAACACAGAGGCCTCTCATAACGTACCGACACTTGGATTCTGGGACTTCTTAGAGGACTTCTCCAAAGATATCATAATTGTATGAATTTATCAAATAGTTTATGATATATCCAGAAATAATCCACAATTTGATTCATAAGGATCTAAACCACTGGACCAATGGGTGGGTGCACTGGAATATGGCGCTGAATCTGACGGGTGGACCAGATTGGGCCGGGTCTGCGGGCGCACCCATTATAGTGAACGCCACGGGACAGGAGTACTACAAGAACCCAACCTTCTATGGTTTGGGACACTTCAGTAAATTTGTTTCACCCGATTCTGTGAGACTGGAGCTCAAGGAGGATAAACCGCTGGATAAAGTGCTGACCATTGCCTTCGAGAGACCCGATGGAGGAGTTGTTGTCATTGTTTTGAATCCAAGTAACGATGAAATTGATTTCACTATCAATGAGTCGGCAAACCATTTAACGCATGTTATTAAGGCCCACGCCATACAAACCTATATCTATTATTAATTGCATTTTGTATTTATTACTCATTTAATACTAATTTATTACTAATTTAAGCTTGTAATAAAATTAACTAAAATTATAGTTAACAGAATTTATTTTAAATAAAATACAATTATTAAATATTTGACATTTTATGCATTTAAATTTTAAAACTTAAATATTGTTTAATCTATCCATTAAAGTTTTATTATTAATAAGCAAGTTGATGATTATTTCATTGTAGTTACAATATTATGTTTCAATTATTAAGTTTAGGAATTAATTTCATTTTATAATAAAGTAAAGTCTGAAATAATAAATGCAAACATTTGACACTTTAATTTCAAAATCATGAAAGTTAAGTATAAAGACACTTATTATAATTATTACATACAATTGTACCCAATTGTCTTCACGGATACAATTATTATAATTTTTATTATATTAAATTAAGTTCACTTCAAGAGGTTTTATACAAAAATTTGGATTTTATTTTACAAAAAATATTTAACCCATGACAAATAAAGATTCTGAAACTATTATATACCATACTTTAACATTTAAGTCAAAGATTACTGATAGAGTTAAGTTCATATGTCTTGTACTGTACTAAAGCATGTATTCTATTAGTATTACGGATATTAATAGTCGGAAACAGAATCTTTATAAAATTAGTGCAATTAGTGCAGGGTTGATTACTTTTTATATAATACTCATATCCTACATTGCTTAATTTGTAATCCGTAAATAATTTATTATTTTTAATTTAATATATGTGATAGGAATATACGAAAAGGTGACATGAACTCTATGAGTAATATAAAATAAAAACAAAGTTAATATTGTTTCAATGCTATACAGTCATATTGTAAGCAGAGTTCAAGTCACCCTTTTATATATTCCTTTTACATATCATCAATATAGTTTAGTTTATGTAAATATTTATTTAAAAGCTTATCATTACCATTTAATATAAAATAGACATTTTAAAATTAATCATACTTTTGTATTACTAGCAATAATATTACTTTGTTATATAATCATCATTAAATCTATTTTTTAAATAATTTATTTCCTGTAATTGCACATTAATTTACTATCAAGTTAGTTTTATATAATTTATTGAAAGTAATTGAAATCTGTAAAATATTTAAATTTATTTATCAATATAAATTTTTAATACTCAAGCTACAGTATTATACTGTAATATTAGTCATAGTCCCATTTTACATAAATTTGGTTTTAATACATTACTACAATATTATCAATAATTTTAGGAATTAATTGTATTTCAAACCCAAACAAACAATTTATCCAGATGCAAACTGTCTACATTGTTCACTATTCAAATTAGAGAAAATAAAATGCTGCGAATTGATAAATAGTACACTTAAATATATGTATAAATTATGCAAGTACCGTACAATCTTAAAATAAATTTAATATTAAAAGATAATTCATCGAGGCAATCATGACGTACTGATAAAACTCGTAGTTATTCATCGGAAACAAATCATAACAATAGAAACAAATGGGTGGTCCGGACAGGTGTTCAATAAAATCCAGAATTTTCAACCGATAATAAACGGACATTCGATTGCCCTTGCTCAAATAGCTATAAAATAAGGGCAGCGACTTTCGGGCAGATTTAGCTATCTTAGCGCTCATCATATTCATCATAACTGTGGCCGAAAAGCATATAATAGCAATAAAAGCAAATACTACCCTGGCCACTTGTGTTGAATCTCTATGGTGCAGCCCATACAGTGCGAGTTGAAAACCCGGGGTCGTTATGTAATACATGATAAAGGTTATATACCTGAAAAAGTCGCGATTTGCGTCGTGTATCAACTTCCCGTAGGAATTGAACTCGCTCATTATACTTATTATAGGATTATGAACTTTGCCCCGGTGGTTTTGTAGATATGTCAGAGAGTTTCGAAATTTGTCGTAAATCTCGTTGAACTTAATCACCATATAAACAGACCATAAGAAATACATACAAAAACCAACCCATAGTATGCCAAAAGTTTGCATCAGGCACAAATGTTGCGTAATTACACCTAGCACCAGGCTAATTAATGGCGTGCTCGCGATGTCATCCAGGTATAGTTTGATTGTGGCGTATACCCAGGTTACGGTTAGAGCCAATATAGACAATATGATTAACGCGTGCAACACATATCTAACAAAAAATCTTGTTTTCGCGCTCACCCGGATCGTGTTGACCTTATTAACCGGGTATTTAATTGTATTTGTTTTAACCTGGTGAATAATTAGTAAGACACCCGATGGGTTTGGCCGTATTTCTTGGTACTGGTCGACACATCCGATACAAAATATACCGAATGTTAATATAGTGATAATGGAATCCGTTAGTACCGGCTTAGTCAATTCAACTGTCATATCGTACATTATATCCCGGATCCATTGCTACAAAATAGTGGTTGAAATTGTGTATTACAAAATTAGCTAGCATCATTTAATTAAGTATTCACTTATAGTTATTTTCAAACAATTATAATGTATAAACTTGAATTTTATAGCTTGCCATTTATGATTAAGTAGGTATACCGTGAATATCGAGTTTATTTCTATAGTATTACATAGAGCACTGGTTTTAAAACTGTCACTTAAGTGACAACTAGCCTTGTAACAACATTTTCAAACATTTGATTCAACACTAGTCATTTTATTTATAAAATAACTTTACCCACTTTATTAATCACTATATTTGATTTAAAAACTAATATGTTTATATTATTATATTAATGAACATTTGTTAATCATAAGTATAGTCGAGCTTTTGAGGACAAAATGTAATCTAAAGCCTTTATTTGATATACACTATGTTTTCGTAAAAACTGAAAAGTTCTTATCATTTATTTATCATGGATTATCCCAATGGTTTAACCTTTGACCGCTAGCAGTGAGCCATGCAAATAGTTTTGGGATAATCCATGATAAATAAATGATAAGAACTTTTCAGTTTTTACGAAAACATAGTGTATATCAAATAAAGGCTTTAGATTACATTTTGTCCTCAAAAGCTCGACTATAATCATAAGCATTGATAATAAGCAAAAAATATAATAATCAAGTTTATGACTAGTAACTATTTGTAGGTATGAAAAGGAATTTATTATTAATTTTCAAATTGTGAATTGTGACTTTTAACTTCAAGTGATAAAGATTAATAAAATAACTAGTGTTGAATCAAATGCTTTAAAATGCAAAGTTGTTACAAGGTTAGTTGTCACTATATTTATAGAATGACAGCCACTGATATAGAGCATAGATGTCAAAAAGTTTTAAAATTCCTTAATTAGTGTTTTATAATAATATTAAAATTTTTAACTATTCAAAACACTAGTATTTTCTGATTTCAATATGACTAAGATTTGTATTGAAAACATTTTTATTTATTAAACAACAAAATAATATTTAAATGATTAAATTACTAACTCGTAAGGGATTTTTAAACATACAATAAAGATATTTGAGAAAGTAATAGTCATATATGAAAAGCTAATATTCATGGGTATTTAACTAAATGCTACTTTAATCTTTAATGTATTCTAGAAACTTTAAAATACTAGTGTTGTTTATACTCAGCTTAAATATTAAATGCATACATCACTAGTTGGTCTCTGGAAACCATATCTGTGTGTCTAAGTGGGGAACATCTTGTCCTGTCAGTAAATTATGCAATTAGAATGGGTATTAAAACAAACTATATGTCCCTATCGACAAAT